AGAATTTACTTATAGACGGTTCTGAGCTTTGATCCGTTAAACCGAGAGTTTTATTAGACATCCGCTATACCGAGACTCACTGTGTATCTATTATATAGAAATATATATAGAAATAAATAAAAATCGATTAATATTAATATGAAAGAAAAATAAAATTTATGAAGAACTTTTCTAATCTGTTCTTTTTTGTAAAGATGCATTATTATTATTATTGGATCGGAATATTAACATAATAATATTATTAATAATCGCAATAATTTGATTTTTATATTTTTATCAACCATGATCAAGCTATGATTATAGGAAAACCAAGGTTTTAATCTATTATAATTATTAAATCAATGTAATAGAATTATTTATACAAATTTTGATTCCAGCTTTATTAATGTCCCAGGTAAAAAAAATCATTTGATTTATAAAATACAATTATTTGTATGAAAATACTAAGTGGAGATGGTAATAGTTGGGTGTAATTTTAATGTTGGCCGGCTAAGCCGGCTAAAAAAAATTTCTCTTAACATTCGTTTTTACGTCTGGAACTTTAGCGCAAAATTTAATGTCATAGATACTTGGTTGAGATGGGTCCCATCTGCATTATTTAGAATAACAAAAACGCAATATTCGTTGCAGGATAAAAGTAATGTAACACAAATTCTTGTTTGAGTTATTTGTAATATACCCGAATTATTGTTATTCGAATAAACTCTTTCAATGTAATTCGAATACTCAAATTCATAATAATAACGAATAAAATAAATAATTCGAATAACCAATAATGGTGGGATATTATAATAACAACAGTAAATAATAGTAATAATAACGATGTTAATAACAACAATAGTAATAATAACGATATTTATAATAACGACAGTAGCAGCAATAATAACATCGGAAAGCTTGATACCATCTGAAAAGTTTTTTTATCGACTGGGATTTATTTAAGTTCTTGGCCGGCCAACATCACTAATAAAAAGTGGGATTTAATTGTCACCCGGATGATTTTATTATTTGAAATTGAAAGGAGAAGGAGGTAATTAATATTTTGATATATATATATTTTTTTTTTGAGTAGTAATTGGTTTTTCATTTAGGAATTGTTTAAAGCTTTATAAAAAGAATCGAAAACAAATTTGGGAGTTGGACTAGGAAAATTTTACTAATAAAAATCATGTGTAACAAATGCTGAGGGGTCGATTTTCCTAGTCCAACTCCCATTTGCTTGTTATTTGTATTATTAGAATAACAATTCGTGTATTTCTAAAGAAATCATGTTATAATAAATATCAAGAGGGATTGACGAGAAATAATAATAATAGTAAAATTGTTTTATTATTAGAATCTATTAATAAATAAAAATAATTACTAATTTTCCCATCTTGTGATCCTATTTAATATATTTCTATTTCCTTCAATCAACAATTGACTTCTTGAATTGAAAATTTGTTTTGTATAACTTGATTGTACTCTACAGCAACCTTCTGGGCCACTCAAGAAATAATTTGAATTTATACAAACTAATTTATCTAATATTCCTTGTACACCCGGACCATTTAATTCTTTAAATAAAGGATTTCTTTTATTTTTCTCTTCTTCTCCAATATATTTTAAATAATCAAAAGCATTTAAAGATTTCCAAGTTTTGATGTCTATTGCAGAGATTAGTATTTCCAATGCTTTAATGTGATAAAATGTAACATTATGAAAAGTGCTAGATTGTGCTTTGCTACCAACACTCTGAAAATTTATACTTAAACTACCATTCTTCTCGCAAGTTATGGGAACATCAGTTGCCAAATAAACATTTTTTATTCCAGTGTCTTTTCTTATTCCTTGTATTGTTTTAACTAATTTTCTGGCACAATTTGGTAGATTCTCCGGCAATGCTCCTTCCATTCTCCAATGTATCGCAATATATGATGATTCAAGCCGATTAGCAATTTTTGAAGCTTCATTAATTATATGCTCTGCGTAAGGAATTGGTTCGTACGTGTTTGGAAACATTATTTGTTTCAGTATAGAATGAATTAATAGTATTTGTGAATCGGAATTTAAATCTTTAATCATGAATTTAGAAAATTCTTCGCGTCCCTTTACTGATTTTAGAAATCCATCATTTAAAATACGAATTTTTTTAATTTTTTCTATGTTCATTTTGAATTTGTATAAAATTTTATTACTATGACGATTAATAAAATCCATCTGTTTTTTATAATAAAAATCGGAAGAATTGTTTGCAAATACAAAACTTTCATAGTGTTCATTTTGTTCATTTTGCTGTTGTAGCATTTCTTCAGTAAGTAAAATGTGTTCAGCAGTAATTTTTTTATAATCTGGTTGCTTTTGAATCCATGATTTGTATTCTTCTTGAGGAACAAATTTTGCATTTGGAAACATTTTTTGCAATAAATTAAAATCATAATAGTAAGTTGGGGAAAGTGGTAAAGATGCTGCGAATCTTGATGAGCCAACATTTGGTATCACTAGGATACGATCTAAAGATTCAGCCAATTGAATGAATGACCTTATGTGGAAATTGGCTTTAGTTTCTTGCTCTGGTAGAATATATGGGAATAAGAATTTACATTTATCATTGCAATCTTCTAATATTGATGATGATGTTGATGATGTTGATGATGTTGATGATGGTGATGATGATGATGATATTTCTTCGACTTGTTCGGTATTATTTTCAAATATATAATTATATAATGAGAAAGAATATATTACTGCAAGTAATATTAAAAATTTTTTAAATATATAAGTGGTTTTTTTTGTATCTATTTGACTGTACATTTTATTATTTTATTCAAAGTTATTGTTGTTTAATAATAATAATTTTTTAAAATTAATATACGAGGAAACTAAATATATAATAATTTATATATGCCTATCTTATCAGAAATTAAAATTGGTGGAACTAATTTATTTTGTTTATATTCGCTTTTTATTTAATTAATTAATTATTGGGTATTGTTTGTTTTGTTTGCTTAAAAGTCCGTGGATTTTAAATTAGTCAATCAGAATTTTGTTATTATTATTATTATTATCGCAGATCAGTCAATCACGGATGCATGGGACACAAAAGAGATGCGAACCAATTAATGATGATATATTAATATATGAAATATTGATAGTGGATATAAAAATGAATTGAAATTGGAAGAAGAAAACCTATGCAAAAAAAAACTTACGCGCCAAATTTATCTCTATATATACTTAATTTCGCCCAATATTGACAATTATTATTATTATTTATTAGTTTTCTTGAAATCATATTAATTCGATGTAACTTGCTAATAAAGTTTATAAACCGTTTTATTATAAATTGAAAAAAAAAATAACAAATTTTTAATGTTACACGATATAATAAATAAATGGATTAGTATACTAATATGTTTCTCAAGAAAATTTATTTAACTAAAATAGATAACTTTTTTTTTTTATAAAAAAAACCAAAATCATCTAATAAAGAATATAAAAAAAACCTCATTTTTTTTTCATTACCTCGCATTTTTTGTTTGTATGCAGAGTCTTATTTTTTTATTTTTTTTTGAATTTCTTTTTTGAAAATTTAAAGTTTTATTGTTGTAAATAACTAATAGCTTCTTCTCTCTTCTATGCTGAGCTCGTTGTTGAGCTCGTAAAAGAGAGGCAGTTAGTAAAAAATCGCTGTTTTTTCAACCCTATTTTTTTGGGAAGGAATTTTTTGTTTTTTTCTTGGCTGAAATCAATCCACATGATGAAACATCATTTTACTGCTTATCCTTATCTGCATAACAAAGTCTTTTTCCTCAAAATTGTTTATTATTTAGGTTAGTTAGGAAATTGAAACTATAAAATTTTGGAATGGGCGTTTTTACTTACATATATGAATTAAAAACGCATATTTTGACATCAAAAATATTTATTTTATTTATCATTTATTATATTTACACAAATTTAATATTTTTACAATAATTATAATAATAAGATAATAGTTATGACACCTTTTGTAGTGTCACTGAGACTTGCAGAGAATGAATTCCAAGATATCTTCTTTAAAGCCTTCTACACCAATGATAATAATAATAACAACATGATCGCAGAAATCTCTAAATCGACTTTTTCTTTGTTGCCACAATAATTTAAATTCAAAATATTGTTATTGCACAAATCGCATTTGTATTTTTATTTAGCCTTATCGAAGGCCAGAAATCTTTTCCTATAGAATTTCTATATTTGTTATTATTCAAACAACCCAACCATTCAATGCAACTTAAATATCCAAAATTACAGATAATTCAAATAATAATCTTTATCAGTTTTTTTTTAGACGGTCCCCATCTTTAAATAGGTCAATAAATATAAAAAAAGGAAATAAATCGATCACAAGTGAATAAAAGGGACTCCACAAAAGCCATTGAGCTTTGTATTATTTACAGTTATCCGGTGCCATTAAATGTGCCTACAGATTCGTCTAGGTGCAATAAGCGAGAACCAAAATAAATTCATAAACTAATCAAAAGTAGCTAAAAAGTTATAATTGTTAAATAATCTGTTTTAACTGAAATGATACCACCATTTAACAAGAATCAGAAAATAGTAAAAAGTTTTCATTATTATATATCTCTTTAACAGTCAGAGTATTCTTTAATGGTAACACAAATTAAAGTTTTCAATTTAATGATCAGCAAAATAGAAACAGCCAATCGATCAACTTTTAAAGAAGATTTTACAAAAACCACAAGGACAACAACCGAATTTTTATTCACATATCAATCAGCTGAATCTCAAAGATCATTTTCGTATTAGGAAATAATACCTTCAGAAAACGTTTTTTATAACAGAAAAAAATTTCGGCTATCAATAGCCGAAAAACCGTTTAAGCCATGGTGATGATCATGATCGACAAAAAATTATATAGTTGGCTCGGTCTAAAGACCTCCTAAGTTTTGCATAAATTTTAAAAGTATAGAAGTCACTTTCTGT